TCATCATCAGCATCATTCCTGCTCTGACAATCATCTGGTCATGTGATAGGTCCTGGTAATATGGGAGACTCATATACTTCTCTCTGCCCAGCCTCACGGTTGGCTGAATGTGGTCTGAGAAGTGCCTGTGGGGAGAAGTATGATGTTGATAAATTTATGGTGACAAAATGAATCCATTCCTGGGCCCGAGACTATTCACCCACCAAATTCTGATTGAAGACTAATAGGTATCTCTCTGTGCAACCCTGACCACCTGTGTCTTTCAGTTCTTTGAAGGTCACTTGGGAAGAGAGTATCTGGCAGAGTGTGTTCCATGTGGCAGAGCAGATTGAGAGCAAGTGGATGCAGAGAATTCCACTGAGATTTAGAGAGCATAAAGCAATGTATGCCCTGGGGTGACCATTCATTCTGACTTACCTGTGAGTGTGGTGATTACCAGGATGAGAATGTAGGACTTTCTATCACATAACTGGTTGAGATTCAGACCAACCAGCATGTGCTGTGGCTCTAGCCTTAAACCTAGTTACTAGCACAGTAAGCGTCATTTCTTCTCTCCATTTTTTAAAATGAAGAATTAGATGAGTTGAGATGATACCTGATTCATCATGGAGTTCTAATATGTTTAAACCATTTTCTAGGTATACCATTCATTTGAGAAAAATGCAAATTATTAATTTCCAACTTGATATAATATTATATTGTAAATACATCTATGTCCCCATTACCAGGTTAGGAAATAGAAATTAATCCCATTCTCTCCCAATTATATCCTCTTACTCTTTCTCAAGGACAACTAATCACTCTATCAAGTTGTAATCCAGTAGGTAACTTTTGGCTATTTAAAGTTTTCATGTGAATAAAAAGTATAGTATTTGCTTCTCTATTTGTTTGTCATAATCAAAAGGAATCAGTATCACCTAGTCATTTTGGACTCTTCCTGTCAGCAGAGCAGCAGACAGAGAAAGGAGTTACTATTTGGTGAGGGGTAATTATCCTTAAGCCATATAGTATAGCAGAATGTTTATAGCTCAGGATACTTAGTAAGTATATTAACTTACTAGCACTGCCATGATAAATTACTGTAAACCAAGTGGTTTAAATTTATTTTTTCACAGTTCCAAAATTAAGGTGTTTGCAATGTTTTCATCTGAAGGCTGTGAGGGAAGTGTCTGTTCCACGTTTCTCTCCTTGCCTTGTTGATGTCTATCATTTCCATGTGTGTTTGACATAATTTTTCTACTATATGCATACTGTTTCTGAATTTCCCTTTTCTATGCAGACATCAGTCATATTTAATCAGAGGACCAATTGTTTCCAATATGACTTTGTCTTAACATGTAACATTTCAAATGCTTCTACTTGTGTATGAATTTTGGTGGACACAAATTAACCCATAACACTGGCGAATCTCATAGAGTGTCCATGCCCAATGATAACCACAAATGAGCAATCCCAGTGGACAATGGTATAGTAACTAGAGGCTCAGACCCTTCAGGAAGGAAGTTCTGAGCTACTTCTTCATGTGGTTACCTAGACCAAGAAGTGCTGGCCAGGGATGAAAGGAGAATAGAACTGGTGGTAATTAATGGAGATTGTGAATCTCAGGTGCACTGTATTACAGCAGCAGTAAGTGTTGCTATTTCACTGGTATTCATTTTACATCTTACTTCCTCTCTTTTCTTTTCCTTTACTTCTTCTCTTTCCTTCCTTTCTCTCTCCCTCCCTCCCTTTTCTTTCTTTCTTTCTTTCTTTCTTTCTTTCTTTCTTTCTTTCTTTCTTTCTTTCTTTCTTTCTTT